GCTCTAAGGAAAGAGGAAGACCCTAATCTGCACGTGTGAAGGCAAAATTAGAGGATGGTGCTTACTACTGATTAGTGAATGTAGCCTGGAAGAATACGATCTTGTCCGTGTAAAATTAGGAAATAACTTTCTCCAGCTGTAACGCAGGTTGTTTTTTTAAAAGCCAATTTTTAATAAGCATGAATTACAGTGGCCTGAAAGGACCAACCCTTTCCTTTCATACATTATATTTTTAGAACTTACACTTTAAAATGAGAATATGACCAATACATGTTTGCGACCTGGGAGCCGTACTGGTATGGCTGTCTGTCGTGTGTACATTGGGTGGTAAACCTTTGCATGCTAACGTGTGAAAGTTCATCCATCTGATGGTAAGCAGTCTGAGTAAGATTTGTACTGTCAGACTCCTGCAGCAATCAGTTCCCAACAGCTTGCTTTAAAAAAAGTAAAGTTTATTGAGACATACGATAGTATGCAGATATCTTAACCATTTTGTCTTAGAACTGAATAAAAGGGCGTGAAGCAAGAAGTTATACATCATTCAAGTAGGCCTCCTGATTGACCAGGGCCAATCAGGAGTCAGGTAGACGTCCACTGAAATAACGGGCATCAGTTCTCAGGAGAAATACTACACCAGGCACTGAAGGTCAAGCAGAGATAGTAGAAACACAGAAGACACAGCAGAACAGAAACTTGACATTCCAGAGTCACCTCATGGCAGCCAGGGCTAGACAGAGGCCTAGCTGACATGTACCACCTTGTACCTTGACCTCATACTACTGAGAAGTGGTATGGAAATGTCTCTCTGTGGGAAGTGATTCTCATCCCATCTGTAATATGGTGAATTACTTATGTGGGTTATATCTGTTGTGTTACAGTTTTCTGCACCCTCACCATATTTCTAACAACCACCAAGAGGAGTACAGAAACTCATAACTTGATGGCAGTACTCCACAGGGGCAGGAAACAAAGAGTTTCTTCAGGAGAGTCAGAATTATATCAGAAGGATAAGGAGAGAAGGGTTGGCGTTGGAGTGCCTCTGTATGTCAGAGAGGGTGTGCAGTCCAGTAAAGTTGAAAATCTAAGAGAAATAGTTTCGCTTACAGAAACACTGATGGGTTGAAATAGTGGGCCCAAAAGGAAGCTTAACTTGGGAAGTTTATTGCCCACTAGATCAAAGGTTAGAGGATGAGTTAAAAACAGCAAAAGAATTAAGGAAAGCAGCTCGATAGAACTGTGTCATAGAATTAAGGAAAGCAGCTCGATGAAATAACTGTGTCGTAATAGAACAGTGTTTGAGTCCAGTGGCACCTTTAAGACCAACAAAGTTTAATTCTAGGTATAAGCTTTCGTGTCTGTGCATATTTCTTCAGATACATGGAAACAGACTTTGCCAACCATTACATATAGGAAGGAGAGTTAGTTGCCAGGAAGGGCTAGTTGGAGTCAAGATGCATAAGTAACTGAGTGATAAGTATAGGTAAGATTGGATTAAAGTAGTTGGTAAAACCTGTGAATAGCAGCAGACTAGCATACAGATAACAAAAGAGTTAACAAACTGATGCGAGAACTGAGTGACTTAGTATATAGAATCATAGAATCATAGAGTTGGAAGAGACCTCCAGGGTCATCTAGTCCAACCCGCCCTGCACAATGCAGGAAATTCACCAATACCTCCCCCCACATCTCCAGTGAGATAAGAACCTGATATCTCTGTTAAGCCCTGGGGGTTCCATTGTTGTGTTGTGATAACTTGTAATTTAGCAATCTCCTGTTAGTCTGTTTCTGAAATTCCTTTGAAATAAAACAGCTACTCTGAGATCCCCCATTGTGTCCCGGGAAGTTGAAATGTTCTCCTACAGGGTGACTTCCGGTTTCGGTGATTCGAATGCGGGCGCGCTCAATTGATGCTCCGATGAGAGCGACCCGTAAACGTGGCGTGCGAGAGGGGAGCTGGATGATTCCACACACCCCCTTGAGCCCTTGTAGGGGGCTCTCAGCCTGGGGCATGAGAGGAGCCTCCCATGAGGCCTCGGCTGAGGGATTGAGGCTCCTCTTTGCTCCGAGAGGCCCCGCAGCGGCGGCACCAAATATGGCACAACAAGCGCACACTGGGGTGAGTGAACAGGAGATCCAGCGTTCCTTCTCCGAAGCTCTTCTTACCTTTTGATCTGGCATGGAGCGAAGCATGAGTGAAATGCCTTCAAACTGGCTAAATAAATAAGCAGTCATCCAAAGCCATGATTTAAAAAGACAGAGGGAGTCAGAGTGTGTTCACCCCCCCCCTCGAAGTCTAAGTGAATTGACTAAGTGATAAGGGCTTGGAACACACTGGCGATTTGGCTGTATAAAACACGGAAATAAGTAAAGCGATTAATGAAACAAACTTTCTGAGACTTAAAAGAACTTTCCATGAATTGTAAACAATGACTAATTGGGGAGAAAAGATGGCGATGAGAACGAAGCCTTCACCAGGAACTGCTAAATCAGCACTTCTGGTTGCTAAGCCAGAAGGAAACATGGACTTCCCTAACATGTTGGCCACAGCATTGCGCCCTCTGCTGGACCAGATGACTAACCTCAACAATAACTTTGAAGCACTGCAAAAACAATTGAAGGAGACTAATTTAGAAACAGAGGAGACAGCAAAATCAGTGAAAAAGGTTGAAGCTAAGACAAAAGCAATAGATCAAAGACTGGAGGTGGTAGAAAAAGAAAGAACCTCGGGTAAAGACCAGCTTTTGCGACTACAAATGGAAAAACCAGTGTTTGTTCTGAGATTTCAAGGTGTTCCTGAACAAAAGGGAGAGAACCTGAAAGAAATTCTGAGTGAAGCGTTGGTGCCAATGACAGGTTGGAAAGCGGATGCATTGAAAAGTGATATGGATATGACTCATAGGACATACCCAGAATTCATCAAGAAAAAAACCCTGCCTGGCGAGATATTGGTGAGGTTCTCCAAGAGGTCCACAAGACATGTGGTACTTAAAGCTACCAATAGAATGACCCTAAAAATCAAAGACGAAGAAATCAAAGTCTTAAAAGATATCCCATTTGAGATAAGAAGGAAGAGAAAACAATATAAAACTTGGCTACTTTTTTACAGAAAAACTCCACCCCCTATAGATGGATTATACCAGAGGGACTTATCTTCAACTACAATGGAAAAAAAGAAAAGATTGACTCCGTAATAAAAGCCAAGCGGTTTTTGGAGCAGCAACAAAGTTCAACGAAAGACAAAGGGGAAGCAGAGGAAGAGGAGGAAGATAGTAGCAGCCATGAATCGAGAAGTCAAGACAATGCAGCAAGCAGTAACCCAGATGAAGATTTGGAATCAGAAATAGGAGCGGCAGCTCCTAAAATCCTGAAAGTCAGATGGACTTATGACAAAGAGAAACACAGAGGAAAGAAGAAATAATACATTTATATAACACTGAAAGTTTGAATTATATTAAACTTTATATACTCGGTTCAAAGAGCTATATACCAGTTTATAACTGAAGCATAAACAAGTAAGTTCCATTCCATTAATCTTAACATAGAGAAACTTTTGATTAAGCTAATCATTACTCATATTGTATGATCCCTGCCTAGCTTATGTTTTAGGTTAGTGTTTTGTTAATGTTTTAGTGTTTGTAGTGTGTAGTGGAAAATAATAAAAAATCATTAGAAAAAGAAAAAGAAATGTTCTCCTACAGGTTTCTCAGTTTTCGAACAGCCATAGTGGCTGTTCGGATGAAGTTACATAGCAGGCGTTTAACTGCCTGCGCCACCGCTCCTTTAATGGCATATACAATTTTAAAAGATGAGTAAGTGAATGAGCCTGACATGGTGTAGTTGTCAGCCTGAGTCAGAGTGCCAGTTACTACTTTTGAGGCCCTTTATGGCCTAGGGCCCTCATACTGATGAAAACAGATCTCCTAGTATGCTCCTGTGCACCAGCCACATTCTTTCCTTAGGGTGCTGTCTCTCAAACTTGTCTATTTGACAACAGGTTGCAGCCTTTTTTGTGCCAGGACTGATGAATTGGAATTGTTTACCCAA